TTAATATATATCAACGTATTTTAAATTTGAATTTAAAATTACATTTAAAAAAAATGAATGTCTGAATCAGGGTCATTGGGTGGATGGGTCAGCACCCTCCTCTATTGGCCAGCCACCACTGCTGAAACCTGACTGTATAGCATGGCAGAAGTAACTTACTAATATCTATAGCTAGATTTTTAGGTAAACATTCCCAACACTGGCTCCAAACGACTGGAGGTTTGAGAATACGGAGGCAGACACAGGCCGTTTCTCAATTCATAAGAGCGTGAGTATGGACTCATGTCCTCACCAAGTATGTTCTGGAGAAGAACATAGGAAAGTCTGGACTTGGCCCTGGCTGCTGCAGACGTGCTAACGTTAGCCCTGGCTGCTGCGGACAGGCTAACATTAGCCCTGGCTGTTGCCAACGTGCTAACGTTATCCCTGGCTGCTGCGGACGGGCTAACGTTAGCCCTGGCTGCTGCGGACGGGCTAACGTTAGCTCTGGCTGCCGTTAGCCTCAGAGCTCTGCTGGTTGCCGTCGTCCTCTACATCTGAACTTTTTTTAAATTATTCATTAAATCTTTAAATGGGCCATATAGTGACGCTTAAAAGTATAATATTCTCGTCTCAAATGATCTTAAAACGTACATTTATTGAACAACGGCAACAGAAACACAGAGCTTTTAACTTAATAGTCTGAGCTCTGTGAGCGCTAACCTGGAAGCTGCTGCTGGGAAAGCTGTCTATCCCAAGAACAGACAAGTCTGCTCTGATGCATGCTGGGTAACGAGGGAGGGGTGAGAACAACATCGGGGGACTTAGTCCGTTCTCGGTCTTGTACTTTTAAATATTGGAACACTTCTATGGCTGATGCCGATGACGTTTCACGAGAACGAACAAGTACAGCACAAGCATCAGATGCACATGGACACACTTAAATGGATGTGATGCTTCTGTAAAGCATCTGACCTTAATGTGTACAAGCATAAAAAATGAAGCTGCAGATGCTTCTTTGCTGCTGAAATTGTGTTATATGTGAACGTGGCATTACTTTGTGTTGTTTAACAGCAGATTTATTACATTTTGTGTGTTTCCTTTATTCACCTACATGCTACTGGTATAAAGCGGCTTATTTAATACTTTGCTTGTGACACAATGCTATTGCTATAATTAGGGATGCACAGATCCACTTTTTCCACCTCTGATATGATACCAACATTTGAAGTTTAATGTTTGCCGATACCGATGCCAAAAACAGCACTGAATTATTACATAAAAATGGTTTTAGTGTGTGAAAAAAAACTGGGATCATTATTCTGTGCATATGATTTGACTTCCCTTTTATTAAAAAAAGAAAAATAGGAAAAAACACAAATATAAATGTTATGACTCATTTAACAACTGTGCACAAAACTTTAAACAAAAAGTTCTCTAACTTGGTCAACATGTAAAAAAAAAAAAGTGTCAGTGGTTCAGTCGGTGCAAATTGGAATCTAAAATCCAATGTAAAAATTAAATACAATAAAATAAATTATGAAGGGGCTAAAATTGAGAAAATAAACAGCTTCAACGTATTGATTTCTAGACAGTCAAAATAAAACAGCCATCAGCTCTTAACAATGTTTAGTGCAAATTGAACTTAAACATCCATTATAAAAGCATCTGAATAAACCATAAGATTTTCCAGCTTGGTCAAACAAACAGTAAAAAAGA